CCCAAAGACGCTGCAGAAAGATATCGTTTAAGATGTAAAGCCGACTCCAGAAAAATGGTTTTCCAGCACGCTTTCGTTTTGGCAATGTTGTACAGGAAGGCGTTTACAGCGCTGCTTTAAAAATATGTTATAACCACGTCAAACTTCGAAATCGTGGGCCGCCGTAAACGCATTAATCCGCAACATACTGTACCATCAGCAGCTACTGCATCTGGCTCCAGAATCCACTGACACTCTGAGCCAGACCGGGATTTTAAAGTGACCCTAAACCGCTGCTACACTAACTCGGAAGTAAGAGCCGTTAACTTTTAGTAAACTTGAGACCAACACTGATTAAATTACCGCGTAGGGTTCCGAGAAGGCAATATTCCTCTAATGCATGTGCAAAATGGAAGAAGGTTCCATCTGCTTCTCTTTTACCTGCCCATTTGATGTTTTCCCGAGTTGAAAACCCCTGACGTGTCTTGATTAAGCCATCATCCCAATTTGCACCGGCTACCAAACCATCACGTGTGCTCACCACCAGCTTGAAGTCGGCAGGCTGAGCAAATTAGGACAAAAGGTATGAGGTGGCGAACGGCACACGAGAAATGAGATGAAAATGAAACTGGATACATATAAAAAAATAAAAACTTTTAAATCACGGATCGCCGGCCGGCTCGGAACACAGACCTGCTGCTCTTCCTTATCGAGCGGTTCTGAGTTCTGGTTCTGGAGGGGTATCGGCTGGTTTTCTCCACAGCTCTGCATCTCCAGCACTAATCCATGATTTAATTGACCCGTTCGCTTGTTTCGACATTTATCTTGTGTTTGTTTTGGGCCTATAAAAAATACTCGCCTTCTTAATCTTCCAAACCCAGCTCCTCCTTATATAGTTCCTGCCTGCTTTTATTTCTGCCTTACGAGCCCCGGCTGGGTGATCAATTTGTGAACAGACGCAGGTGGGACGTGGAGTTGATACCGCCTCAGGGGGGTCCAGATGGCTACAGTTCAGGCTGAACAATTATGCTGCGGTGAAGAACTCACCAGGAGCAAAAGACGGCGCTCTTCGGGATTTGAGAAGGAAACACGAGCCTGGAAAATCAATCACTAATGCCGTTAATTAATCTGCTTGCTTAGACTTTTATTTACTCTTCCGTGCGCTCGGCTGTTGATAAAGCCCTGTCACAGACACAGGCACTGGGGACACTTTTACTGTACCACAGACACTGTACCATAGTCACAGACACTGGGGACACTTACTGTACCACAGACACTGTATCACTGACACTTACTGTACCACAGACAGGAACTGGGGACACTCACTGTACCACAA